ACTTTTGCAAGGTCCATGTCTGATAAAGAATTTGTATCCAAAATTTATAGAGAGCTATTCAATTCATCCATAAGACATATAACAACCCAATTAATAAATTTAAAAAAAAAAGATGTGAAAAGGCAATTAGTAAAAGAAGTTGTATGGATGGCAAATAAGCATGTGAAAAGATGATGAAGATTATTAGTCATTAGAGAAATGCAAATTAAAACACCTGGGACACCATGATACAAATATCAAAATCATTGGGTTAGAAAATTTATCTGTATCTGTCAGGAATTGGAGAAGGGTCAAGAAATTGACTGCCGGGCCGTGCACAGGAGAATTTTTACGGTGATTGAAACCAAAACTCAGGAATCTCTATAACACCAGTAATGAATTTAACTTTGCAAATTTTTAAAAAATCCACCAAGATTTTGGAGAATCTCGAGATGAAATGAAGACTGTAACAAATGAATCTAACTATAGTACAAATGTGGATGAAAAGTGGTTGCCAGGAGTCAGAATAAAAGATGCTAAACTAAGTAACTCTGGAAAACAAGGTTTTCACTGTATACTTTAGGGCTATTTTATTTTCAATTATACGTAAACAGAAATGTCTTTTGCATGGTAACATTTTAGCAATGTGTCCATCTTGTTTACTATTACTTCACACTCTGTCTTCATTTTGGATTGTTGTCTATATGTTAAGATGGATTTGGTGCACAATTTTGTTTGAAAAGCAAAGGTATCTCTTTTGGATTGCCAAGATAAAGGCAAAATAGAACTCAAAGGAAAACCGAAGGCAAAAGAGGTTCATTCACCTTAAGCCCAGAACAGTTTTCATGTTAAGTGAATACTCAGGAAATATAGTATCAGAACCCAAAACACAAATTGTGAATTTACTTAAACATATATGTTTGTTTATTTGTATATGTAAATATAGATTATGACATTATTTAGATATGTTGTCTTTCCACACATTTTGGTAATTTGCTATTAAATATTTATAAATTTAAAAATGATTGTAAGTACAAATAATGAATATATAAATATATCCTTCAAAATCCTTTTGGCGTATATTTCTACTGAACCATAAACTACTGGGTTACCAGGATTTAGAGTTTTTAATCATGTTGAGAGATGACAGAGAGTGAATGTCAAGTTAAATCATGAGGTACTTTTTGACTTGTCCTAATTTTGCCATGAACTTGCATTCATTTACCCCCTAGCTTTCAGTAATAGTCCCAAACAAAGACACTGGCCCTGTTGCAATTTTGTCACCAAGATAGATTTCTTGAAAATATTTCAAACAGAAAGAACAGTGATACTCCTTTTAGATGTGGCTTCTATTTCTGTGACAGCTGAAATCAATATTTTGGGTAAATTTTGCTTCTGTTGTTTTTTGCTACATGGTGATATAATCTCAAATAATTAAAATTGCCTAGTAAAGTAAGACAGTTACTTATAAGTTTGGTGAAAAAATAAAACTGCTTCAAAAATCCCATTATTGCAGTATTTAAGCCACATAGACTCAGCTCACCACAGCAAGTTATAAAGAATATAGCAGCAATTCCTAACTTGTAAGTTAATGATTGTATTAGAATTCCTCCAGGCAGAGAAAAAGTAAATGCTTTTGAAAGAACAATGCACAATTTGTCAGGAACTGATACAGAAAAAGGACTTTGAAGAGTAAATGATCATACATTTAATTGGATTTTGTGATAGTACATAAGTAGCTTACAATAAACCATCAATAAATGTTACCTGGTATGAAAGTAACTCAAGGAAGTATTAATAGCAGCATTAAAGGGGAAGGCAGAATACATGAAAAATCGATGAATCCAAGGCAAATCAGAATTAAGGCTGGGGAAAGCAATTCCACTGTCTATCAGTAGGGAATGGAAGAAAAAAAAAAGGGTTATCAGGAGAGTCACAAAAGCAAACAAAACAGATATCAGTGAGCAGCTCAGGACTAGAGAACAACTACTAAAATTTCTTTTGCTCAATTTAACAGTATAAATTTTGTTTCATGTTATATGCTTGCCTTTATAAAAAATAGAATGAAAAAAAAGTGGGTATATTACAAAAAATCCTTATAAGTGTTTAAAAAAGTGGTTAGCCAGTTACTAATAGTTGGATGACATTTTACTTTTAATAAGGGAAATTCCAAAGAAAATAAGGTAAAAATCATCAAAATCAACACAAGATGCATATAGTTTTGACTTCTAAAGTACTTAAAAGCCTTTACCATCTACAAATTTATAATCTTTAAAAATGTTTTCCTTCAAATAACTCTTTATAGAAATTGAACATTGAAGAAATGAAATATTTTCCAAACACGAAAGCCCTTTCTTGTACAAATAAAAATTCAACAATATTAAATTACTGAGCATAATCTATTTAAAAAGTTATAGGTAAAAATGAAGTCACTCTCGGTTAATGCTGTGACTGATACAGAAAGGGAAAATAGCTTAAGATATGTATTTGTTTTCTTAAAAGACTGAAATACATAGAAAAATTTAAAGGACTAGGCATCAGGAACCAAACTAATCTATAAAAGATAATATTTACTAAGACATCACTGTTACAAGCATTGTGAAAATAATTTTATATATAGTATCATGTTTAAATCACAGTAATATTACTAGAAATACAAAATTATTGCCCAAAATACATACCTGAGATCAAACAACAGAACTGGGGAGTAATTTTTCCAGTCCTGGAGTTTCTAAATGCAGTGCTTGGACACAAACTTAAGCCATCTGTTTCTACATTCCATTCTTAGCTAATATAATCTATTCCCATTTTTAATACACAATGTTTTTTGAAATCTTGTATTCTATATATATGTAGAAATAGACAAATTACATATATCATATATATCCATTTCTATCAAAATGTCCATAATATTCATTAAAAATAGTCTTAAAGTATGTAAAAGTGATTTTAATAGATTAATTTATCATAAATTATATTTTATAACAAAAATCATTGTAATATCTGACAATAATATTAACTTACGTATGTATAATCAAATAAAAATGCTGAGAATAAATATAACTATCTTCCTTCTATTGGTCACAATGTCTTTGCTGAAATACTAGAATTTTGGTATCAACTCCAAAGGAAAGGCAGAGCTAAGATCCACATTATTTAATGTTCAACTAGGTGCATAAAGTCAAGGAATGCACTCTTGACATAGCTCCAAGTTCTCATTAAAAAGAAAGTGGGGGTGGGGTGCTTTTAATCTTGTACTTGATATAAGATGATGTGCATTTACTAATTAAATGCTTACAAGAAGTTAAATATCAATAGTTGCTTTCTTTCTTTTTGGTGGAATTGTGAATTTTTTCTGAAAGGTCTTCTGCTTTTACTAGATATTAAGATTTAGAGTCATATCACATTTTGTTGTCATTAAAATTAAAGTTACTGCAAGAGCTTAATTGATTAATTTTTAAAATATGACAAATTCGCTCAGTTCTGAAGGTTTATCTATTGATTTGAGAAGTCTGGATTCCTTCTATTCCAAGAACATCTTTTTACTGTTGAACACAGAAAGGAAAAAAGCAACAGTTTTTCATGGAGATTTTATTTGTAGCAAATGTTTCATAGAATATTTTAAAACAGAACAAATTTTAAAAATAAATCTAGAAGTTTACTGAGGAAGAAAAAGTGTTTCTTTTTCATGATACCATACTTAAGTTCCAGGAATCATGTCAAAATCTGGGTAGTTGACTTCAAAATGAAAGACTGCAAATCAAAAGCAAAGTTAAAGGCAAATGTCTTTGGGTCAGAGAGATTTGAGGCAGTTTTGTTGTGGCAGTTTGGGAGCAGATTAAATAAAATTCAGAAATACATTTTGATCCAATTTGGAAAGAAAAATGTATGACTGGTCAAATACCTAAAACTTCTGCCAAACATGACAAAACAGCACATTTCTTTTTTGTATTTGTACATTTATTTTAAGGCTTTGGACTTGCAAAAGAATTTCCTGCTAATGCCATCATAGCTTCTAAAATTATATAATTCTAAAGAACATGGAATGCCTAATCCCATTCTTCAGAGTCATTGTTATAAGAAATACAGGTGTATATATATACATATATGTACACACACACACACACACACACACACGCACACACACACGTTGTACTTAAGGTTCTGGGGTACTTGCGCAGATCATGTAGGATTGTTGCCTCCATCTCCCTGTCACCTATATCTGGCATTTCTCACCATGGTTTCCCTCCTCAAACTCCCTGCCCGCTGCTGTCCCTCCCCTAGTCCTTCCCAACAGACCCCAGTGTGTGATGCTCCCCTCCCTGTGTCCATGTGTTTTCATTGTTCAACACCTGCTTATGAGTGAGAACATGCAGTGTTTGATTTTCTGTTCTTGTGTCAGTTTGCTGAGAATGATGGTTTCCAGATTCATCCATGTCCTTATAAAGAACACAAACTCATCGTTTTTTATGGCTGCATAGTATTCCATGGTGTATATGTGCCATATTTTCCTGTTCAGTCTATAATTGATGGACATTTGGGTTGGTTCCAGGTCTTTGCTATTTTAAACAGTGCTGCAATGAACATACGTGTGCATGTGTCTTTATAATAGAATGATTTATAATCCTTTGGATATATACCCAGTAATGGGATTGCTGAGTCAAATGAAATTTCTATTTCTAGGTCCTTGAGGAGTTGCCACACTGTCTTCCATAATGGTTGAACTAATTTACACTCCCACCAACAGTGTAAAAGTGTTCCTATTTCTCCACATCCTCTCCAGCACCTGTTGTCTCCAGATTTTTTATGATTGTCATTCTAACTGGTGTGAGGTGGTACCTCAATGTGGTTTTGATTTGCATTTTTCTAATGACCAGTGATGGTGAGCATTTTTATTGTCACTTGCATATTTAATAGAAAAAGAAATGCAGTACATGGTTTCAAGTTGTATTAAAGAAAAAAATCAATCCAGGTTTGTCCAGGTTGGTCTATTTACATCTGGGAGCAGAATTGTCCCCACATCAGGCACAGCAGCTGCACTTCTTTGACTCCCCTTTGCAGACGCAGCCCTGGGCACACCTGACACAGCCCACGGGGCAACAGGAACAGCAGCTCTTCTTGCCAGAGGTGGATTTGCACTCTTTGCACTTGCAGGAACTGGCACACGTGCAGGAGCCACCAGTGGCACAGGAGCAGTTGGAGTATTATTTTTTAAAAACAGGTTTATGCTTTCAACTGGCAGAATTATCTAACATTCTTCTGAAAATTCTAGCTAAATCAATAAAGCACTAAATAAGGAGGTGTTTTATTGTTCTTGGAAAGTCAGATAACAAGGCACTGATACATAATTTAAAGAAAATATTAAAAAATAAAATATTACACTAAAAAACAAAAACATTGATCTAAGAAAATATTTTAGTAGGAATAATGAAAACTTTTCCTTTAAAATATTTTTATTGAAAGAAGATTTTGTGCATAAAAATGTTTACACATTGCTATACTACTGCTACTAATAATAAAGGAAACAATGTTAAGTAGGAATGTTAAGAAGTGGTCAGCTGAATCATGGTAAATAAACAGAATGGACTTATATAACCACTAAATTAGTCTGATTACAATAAATATTACTGTAAAATTTTCTGCAACATTTCTGCCTTGTTGTTAAGTCTGAAGTATCTTTTGTCTAAGGTTCTGAAGCTTCCTTTTAATTACGTGATTTGTCTGCTTGTTTTAGGTTCTATGAATCTTTTTATTGTTTTCATATACTATGGCATACTAGAGCAAATGGTGTATTTTATAAGTCTCTATACAGTGAAATCACTGCCCAGGCAACTTATGGAATATATTTACTAAAGAATGAGGATAAAAGCATTCATGTTACTCATACCATGTTCAGTGATTTAAATATCACAGCTCAAAAGTCCTGCTAATGAAAGCAAACACAGTTTGCATTATGATATGTACATGGTACATATTGTCACAAAGAATAATATTATTTTATGTGTGCTCAAAATGGAAGTTTATGTATTGATTTCAATTTTTATATAAATTTAATAATAATAATGTATTGCTCTACTACTATTAAAAATAACCATAACAGCTATGGAGAGTCAGATTTCTTGGTGTTGAGCAACTGATGTACATTCATAACAGTGAATGTACAATGACATGAGATGTTTTTGTAGCTTGAATAATTAGTTGAATTCTAGACAGTTCAAAATGGAAAATGCACAGAAAGAATGGAAGCCTAAGAGGCAGTGATCCACTGATTGCTTGCCTCGAAAGGACTCTCAAATGTATTGCTATAGCTAGAATCTCAGTGCTCCCTCATCTACCGTGAATAATAAGTGAATAATAAATCAACTATCCCTGAGGCTTTGTTTCATAACCTCCAAATAGAAAGGTATTTGTGTCTTATGTACCTGAAACATTGATTATCTCTCTATACAAACAGCTATACTCAGGTATCCAATAAACAGAAATATCTTTCATCACATAATTAGTCTTCTAAAAATGTTCCTAGCATACATATGGTAATTATGCCTCATACAACTAATTATGTCTTGTACACATTTGTCTTTCCCAGAGGAAATAACTTCAATTCCATCACTGATAGCTTTAAATCCTGTATCACTGAAAGACATCCTCTCCATCTCAAGTTTATAATGAATCACATTATATTTTGAGATTAAATCATACATGTAACTAGCACAAACATAGCCTATATTAAAAAGTAGAGAAAATAGAAATGATGTATTTTTAAATACTAAATAAAATTAATATTTCATTTTTTACTTCTGTCAGATCATTTTGAGGAAAGTATTTTCTCTGAAGTTCATTCTTTGTTCCCTTTTATTTTGACAGTCACCATAACTGGCTAGGGTTCTTAATCTGATAAGGATATGCAGCCCATCACTCCCAAAGGATTTTACTCCTTGGTGATCCCGTCTATTAGATTATAAATTCTTCATCTGGTTTTTGTCAGCAGGCATATGAGTGTGAAGATATGCCCAGAGAAACTCCTCTTTTTCATTTTACTCTTCTGTGCCCCGTTGTTTAGAAACAACCCCATTTTCATCTGAGTGTCAGGAACTCTCACATCTGCCACAATTTTACACATTGTAAAATATCTGTTTTCTGCTCACTCAGCCATCTCTTAAAGAGCCCAAAAGTTGTGAATGGCTATTTCAGTTCCCAAAGAGGTGGAATATTGACTGTCTCCTCCGGATGCATTTTTTCCTTTGGCACTAAATCATACAAAGCATTAAGGCCTACAGTTGTTGATATGGGAGGGAAAACCATGGCAAATTAAAAATTTAAGAGGACCAACAGATATCTATGCCTGCTTTTTAGTAACTAATACATTGAGACAGCAGGGTTTGTATTAGAAGCCATTTATTGATCACAGGGTGTGGAAAGGAGATGAAAGGAAACCCTCAAGTCTATGTCCCAAAGGAGTTCTGGAACTGGATTTTTAAGAATGTCATATAGTGCAAGAGCTGAAAAATTGGGGTCATTGATTGGTCTTGGCAAAGGGGATAAAATCATCAGAATGTGGAAACTGCATTCTCTGGTGAGTCAGCTCCTCCTGGGTTCCTTCGGAACAGCTGGTATCCATGGGGTCTTTCAGAGCTGTTGACAGCAGTTTCATTGGTGAGCAGAATCTAACTTAAACCCTGTTTATTTCATGAGATCACCGTCTGATAGTAAGTTTGGAGGTAGTCTTCTCCTCACTTCTTAGTATTCTTTTTTTGTGTTGTTTAATTTATTATACTTTAAGTTTTGGGATACACTTGCAGATAGTGCAGGTTTCTTACATAGGTATACTCGTGCCATGGTGGTGGTTTGTTGCATCCATCACACTGTCATTTACATTAGGTACTTCTCCTAATGCTATCCCTCCCCAATCCCCCTACTCCCTGCTATTCCTTCCCTAGCCCCCCAGACCCCAGTGTGTGATGTTCCCTTCCTATGTCCATATGTTCTCATTGTTCAACACCCACTTATGAGTGAGAACATGTGGTGTTTGGTTTAAAGGGATTATTAAAAAAAAAAAGTGATTTTGTATTAATATGCCCTTGCACTGTCTTTGTTTCTTTAAAAGGTGTAAATAATTAGAATATATACAGCATTAATTAATAGAAATAATTAAAACATATGGATTAGCATATCTAAAAACTGAAAATAAGACTGCTGTTTGTGAAATTTTTATGTTGTGAAATTAAAAAAAATCTAACATAAAAGCATAGTAATTAATTACACAACTGATTTTTTTAATATACAAGGTGTACTAAATTCCAAGATTAACATATGATTATATTAGTAAAAAATATTTAGGAGCATTGTAGGTGAGAAGACAATCAGAGATATTGAAACAAGCAGGCACTCTGGGTCTGAGAGGCACTCAGGTTTATATGATTAATAGGAAAGCAACTCAGCAATTCTTGAACTACTAGTGAGAGGAAATATAGGAAAAGCAGCAAAGTCAGTTTTAACAATTGAGTATTGAAATATTTCCTTTTTACATAAATACTTAGATATTATACTAATTAAATCTTATATCTCATTTTTATATATTTTGTTTAATGGGACTTTGAGTTCTTATACTATGGCATTTTTCTACTATGGCATTTTTAAACACTAAAACATTATAAAAGAATTTCTGACACATTGAAAATAAGCACAATTTTTCATTTGAACTAGATGAACTCTAAGGTCATCCCTTGCAATAATTTTCTTACTGATTGGCTTTTTCTACATGCAGAATTTCACCTGTACTTATTATACATATTAAAAATGACTCGTTTTGAATATTTATTCCTTGAGTCTAAGTTAACCATAAACTCAAAAAACACAGGAAGAGTGTTGAAACAGTCATTTTTGTTTTGGCTTGGTTTGAATGGTTTTGTGGTGTTTTTTTTTTTTTTTTTGTCCAGTCATAAGTAATTTTTTCTATCACTTCTCTACATTTTTCATACCAATGCAATTGCGGTTTGCTTGCTTTTGACTCACAAGTATGCTTCAGTCATGATATTGTTATTTATAACAATAATCTAAAAATTTGAGTCCAGGCGTGGTGGCTCATGCTTGTAATCACAGGTCTTTGGGAGACTGAGGTGGTCAGATCACTTGAAGTCAGGTGTTTGAGACCAGTCTGGCCAACATGGTGAAACCCTGTGTCTACCTAAAATACAAAAATTAGCCAGGCATGGTGGTGGTCTCATATAATCCCAGCTACTAGCAAGGCTAAGGCAGGAAAGTTGCTTGAACCTGGGAGGCAGAATTTGCAGTGAGTGGAGATTGCTTCCACTTTACTCCAGCCTGGGCAACAGAGTGAGATTCTATCTTAATAAATAATTAAAAATAAAAATTTAAAATTAACCAATATTGGGATTCTTTCCTCTTACATCCACAATAAACAAGATTCAGCAAGAAAACTTATTTAGGAAAGTTATTAAAATATCTCTTGGGATAGATAACCTATGTCTTAAGTTAAAGAATTCACATTGTCTAAATAAGTAATACATTTAAAAATTGCATGAGCCATATATTATAGAAGTTATACATTGATCCATACCAACATTTTAAAAACAAAACAAATCTGGATTTACATTTGCTTTTTTGATGGACTTTTAGTTTTCCAGTCACACAAAACACTAGTGTTTCAATTTACTGCATAATTAGTGCTAGCACAGCAAATATTTATACTATTCTATAAATTCTATAAATTTCATATATTTTAACACATTCTATTTCCTTTTGTGTTAGTTTAAATATTCTCCCCCTTTTCCACTATACAAATAATATTTTTCCTCAGTAGGGGAATAGAAAACCAGAGACAAGAAGTCAAATTCTATTAAGATTCTAGAATGTAACGTATTTTTTCTCTATGCACTTTCGTGTAGTTGTACAAATAAATGATAAGTACATTTGCAGCATAAATTATTTCAGTAAATATTAAGACATAATAATTATCTGTTAATTTCTCTACTAAATCAGTGGCTGCTCATTCTCAGTTTGTTTTACTGATTATTCCTTTTCTTCTCAATGGTTAGATGTTGGTGAACCCCTGGTTTCATTTTCTGTCTACACATACTTATATACTCTCCTGTAGTCTCAAAGATATAAATTTCAATTGTAAGCTCTTGGCTATCATCCTTCCCTTGAGTTCTGTTTAACATTTCCAACTGGATATGTAATAGCC